GCCATATTCTGCTTTGCACGAAGAGGCCAAGAGTCTGTGCATGGCCATCTAGCAACTACACAAGCCAGCAACCACAGGGAAGGCAGAAACTCCAAGCAAGGAGCTCAAACGCTTCTTGGTTTTCATGGCCTTTCCCCACCAGGAAGTCCTCCTGGCTGCTCCAGCCTACGCAGATCCCCCAGCTTCTGAGCTCCCACCAGCCCTGCCAGGAAGTCGAACCACAGGCCTCCCCTGACTCCTTTCTGAGTCTGGTCTCTGCTGGCCAGCAGAGGAGCTCTTGGGCTTCCTTCTCCCTTCTCCCCTCCAGTCTCCCCGTGGCAGGGACGGCACAGGACACCGGCACAGGTCCCCAGGGCCAGCAGAGACTGGGTGCAGGGCTGGGCAAGGCTGAGAAGCAGCAGGCAGGGTGGGCAGGTGTCAGATGACACCCAGGTTTTCACCCAGCTACGGGGCTTCCAACTGTGCGGAGAGCAGCACGGGGCGGGGGGGGGGGGGCCGCCTCTCTTCTGCTTGTTCCTGCAGCTCTGGGCCCTGATCACGGAAGGGGTGACGGTGGGGGGGCAGGGGGACGGAGGGAAGCTGCGGTCGGAGGCCCAGCACCGCCGGGGCGTGCACAGCTAGTGTGTGATGAGAAGCTCCTCTCATCGCAGTACCTCAAAACCAGGAAGAGAAACTGAGAAGGCAGAAAGGACAAACTGGGCTGCGTGGGGCCCTCAGGTCCCTGGACACGTGCCAAGGGGAGCTCTTGGACAGTGGCTGGACAAAACACTTCCCCATTCTGGGCCTCCGCCTCCCCAGGGGAAAAATGGGATTCTCTCCTTGGTGTGGCCAGTCTGCCCCACTGGTGCCGGATAAAAGAGATGCCCCCCTATTGGTGGAGAACTCCCGATCCCCCAGTGGGGTTTGGCCTCTCCCGGGAAGCCCCCGGGGGTTTGGCCCCTGAAGCTAGCCTCGCCCTGCTCACTTCTCCCCTCAGCCACACAGGGAGCACACTAGCTCTTCCTTCACCAGCTCTTTATTTTTAGGTCTGAATTTGACTTTAATCATTACTTAGCGAATTCTATTTCCAGCCCTCGAATGAAGGGACCCACAGGAGAGGAGGGAGGCAGGCAGTGCTCCCTGCCCGGCGTGGGGGGCAGCCTGCTCCTCCACCCATCCTGTCTCCAACCAAGGCGGGGGGGACCGAGAAACACCCAAAGGGATTGCCCCAGCCAGGCCAGCATCTTGGAGGGGACCCCACCCTGTGACCTCATCCCAGCCCAAGCTGTGGGACAGGAGGGCAGTTGTAATGCCCACTTCCCCTGTGCCAAGACCAGGGAGGAGGGAGACACTCCACAGGCGAACGTCTAGCAGCTAGAATCTGAGGTCCTGTGCCTGAGGGATCTCTGCATCGAATGGGCCCCCTGGGGGAGGACCTCTGGCCTAGCTTAGTCCTGGGCTACCCTAGGGTCATCTGGGGCCATGGTCTCTCAAGCCCCAGGAGCGCCAAGTTGAGACTGATTTCCTCCTACTGCCCACAGCATGGCCTCAGGAGGGCACCCCCAGTTACTCTGGCCTCCACAGAAGCAGAACAAGAGGAAGAAAGGCGTTGTCACAGCAGTATGCACTCAGGTCAGACCCACGTAGCACCTGCCGAAGAGGAGGCCGCTAACGCACAAGACTTCCCCAGTGATTTGTGGACCGTCTACGCTCCCTTTCCAACTGCTAGGCTAGAAACCCTCCCTCCCACCCCCCACACCACTGGGACAGGGTAGGGAGATGAGGCTGGCATGCCGTCCCCAGGTTGGGGCTCAGGATGCCTGGGCTCTTTGCCAAAGTCGTGGTTTTCCCAGGGAAAGTAGGCCTCTGGCTCCACTAGGGAAATTTGGGGTGGCCTAGGAAGTAGCTGAAGCTAGCTTGGGGCAGGAGGCAGCCGGGCTCTCAGAGGAGAGGCCTTGTCCAGTCAGCTCTGGTGCCTGGAGACCAAAGGGGAATGGGGAGGGGCAGGTTCATGTCCTGGAGCAGCCAATCACATGGTGATGGGGAGGGGAGAAGGCGAGGAGGTGGGACAGGGCACGGGGCCGGCGTAGGGCTCCACGGGCCAAGACCAGCCCTCTGCTGGGTGAGCCACCAGCCGACCCTGGCCCAGGCATGGTCCCCACACACTGAGGCGGCCTGCCATGGGTGCTTGGTGAACAATGCCAACCTCTCCTCACAAAGTGCTTACTGGAGGCTAGGGGCGGTGCCAGGTACTTTCTAGTACCTTGGTTAGTTAGTTTGGACTCTCTTCATATTCCCCTCTGGCCCAGGAATGGCCATCCCGTGGTGTACATAAAGGAACCCCATCTCAGAGGTGACCAGCCTGAATGGCGTGGCTGGACCTGGAACCCATGGGCTGGGTGCCAAGCTGCCCGCTCTTTGCCATACCCCAGGCTGCTCTGGGGGCCTGTGGTCCCACCCACTGTCACGGCAACAGGCGAAACAACGAGCCTATTAGTCCGGGGGCTTGGGGGAGCCTGCTGCAGCCGAGCAGTTTGGAATAGGGCGCAGCTTCTCAGAGGCAAAGTTCCCTGGGCAGAGTTCCACCTTGTGTGGGCAACATGAGAAAATGCTCAGAGACAGAGAACTGAAAGGAAAAAAGGTGTCATGGTGCGCATATTCAAATGACAACAGCGAGGAAGGAAACAAAAATCAGGAAAAGACAGGGAGGGAACTCCAAAATGCAAAGAGTCGCTCCTCTGATGAAGAAACTGTGATTCTTGTGTTGTTTTCTAAGTTTCCTGTAGTGCTATGTTGTTACTTTCTGCATTAAGAAAGTACCACGCACATAGTTTTCTCCTGAGCTCAGATTTGCTTCCATGGGACCTGACTGGCCCCAGATCTGGCCCTGACACCTGGGACATCTTCCACGGGACAGCCTTTCTGATACGGACTAGCCCCTCAGGCATGTGGGGGGCTCTCCCTACCCTTCCCTTCCTGGACCAAACAACTTTCTCTGGGGACTACATGTCAAGGCTTCAAAATGCCTCAAAAGATAGAGCCCGGAACTGGACCCCGGCTGTTCTGCCCGCTGAGGCCTCCTGGCAGCTTGCTCGGGCATCTGCATCACACACTGTGAATCCTGGGCCTCAGCCCCTGCCTGTACTCTGGGCTGCTCCATGGTGGCTCAGCCTCTCGGGGCCAGGTGCCCCCTGCAGCGGCCCTGGAGACTATCATCTGGTCCTTCCTTGCCCTGACCCAATGCAGAGAGAAGAGCTGCCACTTCTGAGAGGCAGGAAGGCACCAAGCTCACCAGATAAAAAACGCATCTCTGCACCTGTGCTAGCCTAAAGCCAAAGACCCTTTCCTACAAAGGCCTTGGGACCCTGGGGTCGCACCCACACAGCTCACAGTCAGTATAAAAGCGTCCAACCTTCAGGCCTCAGCCCCAGGCCCCCAGGCTGGAAAGGAAATTAGGGCCGGGTGTGGGGAGCCTCAGAGGCCCACCACATCTGGGTCTCCTCCACAATGCATGTCGGGGTAACTGGAAAAAAAACTATATCAAGGGCAGAGTCCCGAGCAGGACAAAACTACCAGCGGCCCCAAGGGGGCCCAGACATAGCTCAACATCCTCCAGGGAACCTCCCACCCTCCAGGGAGCACGAGAATCCTGCCACACTCCCAACCTCCCTCCTGCTGCCTCTGCCCCATTCCTGTGAGGGTCCCACCACGAAAGACACTGGAACCACCAAAGGGTGGAGAGCTTGGAACAGGCGCCCTGTGTGTGCCCACTCTGACCACGCTCCTAGGCCAAGGCTGTGGAAACACGGCTCTCACCTTCCCCATCTGGATCCCATCCATGTTCTGAACCCGGCTGCTCCAGTGCTGGCTGGGCCAAACGTGTGGGAGGCCTGGGGCAGGACTGACTACCGGGCTGTTTCAACTCGGCACCAGGGCCCCACCACACAAGGTACCCCCTCCCACCACATCCCCTGTCGGTGGGACCCACCTCAGGCACCAAGGGGAAATCCCACGGGCAGTAAGTACCAGGGCTGCCTGAGCCCAGACCCAGGCAGAGCTGGGGCCGGAAGCCCTCTGGAGGGAAGCACGTGCTCACCCCACAAGGTCCCTTGGGTCAGGCTGGGGGCCTGGGTCCTCGGTGGGTGAAGGTACCTGCCTGGTTTCCCTCCACCCACAGCAGTGCAGCTCGGCGGAGCAGAGGAGGAAAGGATAGACAGCCTGACTCGGCCAGAGACCTGGGGTAGCAACTCCCCCTCTGAGCCTCAGTACACTGGTCCTCAAAATGGGAGGGGAGGTGAACCCCTAGTTAAGCTCCAAGGATCGGGTGGCTGGACACGCCTCTTCCTGACACCTGGTCTGGGCCCTGAGGAGTCTGGGAGAATGAAATGACCAGGCTGCCAGGAGATGGGGGCATGGTCCTAATGCCCAGTGTCCCATCCACCCCCATAGAAGCCCTGCCCTGTCTTCCCACCCAAGGGTCACAGGTCCCTTGGCTTAGGCCTGCTCTTCTGAGAGGCCAACAGGCTTAACCTCTAGCAAGCTCAAGGGAGGTGGCTGGGCCCTGGGCTTCCTAAGAAGAGCCAGCTGGCTCCTCGGTGGGGGAATGAGGGAGGGTTCAGAACAGGGAAGGCCAGGGACCTGCAGGGAGGGCCTGGGGAGGCAGGGAACAGCCAAGTGTCCATTCTCTATAGAGCCCTGGCCTATGCTGACCCCTCCCTCCAGGCTCCAGCCAGCCCCTACACATGGTGGGACAAGGAGGGGCCAGACTCGGAGTGGCCTGAGACAAGTCCGGGGGGCTCACAGGGCAGCACCTCCCTGGTGAGGTCCCCTCCCAGTCGGGCTGACAGTGACTCCCGGGAGAATTCGAACCGGGAAGGAGCGGGGTAAAGGACGTGGGGGATGGGGAGTGGACGTGACCGCAGCTACAACGGAAGCAACAGAAGCGGGACGCGCGACCTCCAACCTCATCCCCTCGGGAAGCACTCGGACGCCCACCTCCGCCAGGCCCTCCAGGCACTCACCTCTCTAGGGGCACTGCGGTCCGGGCCACCTCGCTGCGGGCAGCATCAGCGGCCTGCGGGACGGTCCATGCGGCCAGGGGGGAGGGGAGGGGCGCAGGGGTCCCCGGGGGGTACGGTACAAAGAGGTATTGGTGCGAAAAGAGGGGGAGGAGGGACGGCCAGACAGAGGCAGGGGGATGGCCGCGCGGCCCGGGTCGGGGAGGGAAGAAAGGCGGGGGAAGGGGGGCGGGAGGGAGTCGGGGGGAGGAAACAATGTAGCCGGCGCAGCCCCGGCAGAGTTCCGCTTCCGAACGCCGCCACCGAGGTTCGAGTTTGGAACGTCGCGCCGGCCGCCGGGGTCTGCCCCGGACGCTGGATCGGGGGCCGCGGAGGCTCCCCGCGCTCCACGCCCCGGAGGCTCTGGCGGCCACAGGCTGGCTGGGGCGGGAGGGACGGCTGGCCGGGGGCCGGCCCCGACGGCGGCGCGGCCGGGCGGTCGCCCCGCTCGGACCCCACCCCGGCAGGCCCCCCGGGCAGGGTGCGGGGTGGGGCGGGAGCGGGAGGGCGGCGGTGGTGGCGGCGGGGGCGGCCGAGCTGGGCTTGCCCGGGGCTCCGCTGGGAGGAAGCTCGCAGGCCTGGCGAGAGGAAGCGCGGCCCGGATCCTCCGCCCGCGGCAGCGCGCCTGCGCGAGGGGGCCTGCCCGGCGCCCGGCGGGGCGTGGGCCGGAGGAGAGGCGCCCCCTGCCGGGCGCCGGGGGGCACTGCGGGGGGTGTGTCCGCGCCCACGCCCTGCCCCCACCTGCCGGCCCGCGCTGAAGGCTCCCGAAGGTCCCTCCGGGAGGGCAGACCTGGCCGCCGTGGGGCGACCTCCGAGCCTTCTCTGGGCTCCGGTCCCCGATGTAGAAGCGATTGAGGCCGGACCTGGGCCTCTCTCCTCGGATCTGTAGTGAAGAGTAGGCCTCATTCGCAGCTACTAGTAAGCATTCGTTCACTCATTCATTCAAACGATTCCTGGCTCTGACAACGTGACAACGTGACACGTTCTGTTCTGAAGTCTGCTAGAAGGGCCACTTCACCTTACTGTCAGGGGGGGTCTCAGTAGGATAACTGAGGATATCAGGTAGGATAGTATCAGTAGGATAACAGGCCAACAGACAAGTGCGAAGAAACAACTGATAAAGGTGGAGAGGTGGTGTCCGAGGTCCACAGAAAGCAGGAAAGAGGGGAGGACTAATGGGAAGGCTTAATAGAACTGGGACCCCAGGTGGGGGAACAGCCTGGACAAAGGCAGGGAATGATGGGAACCCTTGAAGGCTAGGGGAACCCTAAATAGCTTAGTATGGCTGCAATTTGCAGTGTGGGTTCAGGAGAGTGGTGGGAGATGGGGGTCTCTGCAAGCTGCAGGGAGGAGAGATCCAAGGAAGTTGTGGGACTTTCTTGGCTTTATTTTCGGCCTGGAGGCAATGAGGTTGTTGGCAGTAGCTGTGTGACCTTCGGAAAGTTACTTAAACTCTCTGCGCTATGGTTTCCCCATTTGGTAAAATGGGGGAAATAATAGCACCAGTTTCTTAAGATTTTGTGGTGAGGAAATGAGTTAAATAATTTAAAGTGCTTAGTGTGCAGTGGTTGGCACGTGATCAGCCCTCAGTTAAGTACCACTGTTACATATCACAGTTAACGAGGAGCAGGGAAGTGGTCTGCTCTGAGCCACAAGAGCAGACAGTGTGTGTGGCTGTGTGTGCGTGGGGGGGAGGGGGTTAGTGATGGAGGAGAGACCAGACTCTGGTGTAGGTAGGGGGCATCAAGGCACTTCTTAGGGACTGGGTCCTGAAGGAAGAGTCGGGGCTGGGTGGGCAGAGAGGAGGGGCACTGTCTGGTGGGGGAAATGAGGCATATTGGCAAAGTCTAGTGTACCCAGACTGAAGGAATGAGAGGGACAGTAATGGGCCCGTGGGAGAATGAGCTGGAGAGACAGCGTGGCTGAGTGTGCAAAGAGCTCAAAAGCCAGGAGCATGAGTTGGGTGTGGCACAGTCGGTCAAGCGTTCAACTCTTGATCTCGGCTTAGGATCTCACAGTCCTGAGATCAAGCCCAGTGTTGGGCTCTGCGCTGGGCAGTGGAGCCTGCCTAAGATTCTCTCTCCCTCTCCCTCTGCCCCCCACCCTCCATATGTGCACTCTCTCTCTCTCTCAAAAATTAATTAAAAATAAAAAAGGAGGGAAGTAGTAGTCACACCTCTACTCTTTGAGGAGACATCAAGTCTCAGAGATTGCTATGATATAATGGAAAAAAGCATGGACCGGGGGTTCAAATCTCGCAGTTAAATCTCAGCTGGGTCACTGACTAGCTGTGTGACCTTGGGCTAGCTACTTAAGGTCTCTGAGCTCAGTTTCCTCTTTTGTAAGATCAGGCTCAAAATATCCTTCTGCTCATGAGAGATGCTGCAGATTCAGCACGATAACCGCCCTCGGGGTGAGGGGGAGGAGGGTGCTCAGCCCCAGTTGGTTTCCCTTTCTTTCCTCTGAGGTCAAGATGGAATGATAAAGTAGTGCTGTGTGGGGCCACTGCTCAGCCTGAAGGAAAGTGGCAGCTCTGCAAAAGGCTCCTGAAAGGGAGAAGTTGACAGCTCCCCTCCCCCGATGGGGTCAGCTGGTGAAATGGGAAAGGACTGTGAGGATTTGGGGAAAATGCTCTAATTCCTGTCCCAGTTTTGTCACCAAGCCATCTTCCTTTATCCCCAACACATTTGATTTTCTCCCCTGGTTTGCTGCAGCCACGAGTGTGAACTTTGGAGTCAAATAGAGTTGTGTTTGAATCCTGGCTCCACCTCTCCACGGTGGAGTGAAATACATTTTTTACGTTCCCTGCACCCCAGGCCCAGGAGACAAATCAATAAGGCACCCTGGCCCACTAGGTATGCGCTAGTGGGAGAGCCAGCTAACCTCCAACTCCCCCAGTCACTTCTCATTCACTCACTCACTCAACAAACGCTTATTGAGCACCTACTAAGTGCTTGCCACTGTCCTGGAGGCTGGAGATGAAGGTGCAAGCAAGGCTACCATGGTTCTTGCCCAGCAGGTTAAACAAACAGGGTAATTAGACACTGTGGCAGGAAGGCATGAATGCTGGGTGGAAGAGAACAGGCTAGGGGAGCCAGGCACAGAGGCTCAGCAGCTTGAGGAAGTCAGAAGGCCAAGGTGACAAGGCCCACAAGCAGGGGAGAGAGGTATTGGAGGAAAGGGCCAGATCCCAGGGGTCGCTGTGGGCCAGTTGTTTTATTACACGAATTTGGATTTTAATATATGGCCAATGGGGAGCCAGGGGTGATGGGCATGGGCCCCTGTGGACAAAGGTGAGGCACGTGACAACTCTTGCTCAGGTACTCTTTGTGGGGAGTGAGGCTCCTGGAGAAAGCAGGCCTAATCCTTGGGTATGGCTGGAGCATCTGGGGGGAATGGTGGTGGTCTTTGCTGAGGTGGGGACGACTTGGGAGAGGGGCAGGGGTGGGGAATGCTCAAGAGCTAGAGTTTGGGCAAACCGGGTTTAAAGCCCCTGTGAGACATGGAGATGTCAAGCTGGCGTTTGGAGCCAAGTCCTACAGACAAGGCCACTGTGGCTTAAATGTAAAGAACTTTCCCAGAGTCCCACCCCCAAGACTGGGATTTGGGTCCGAGGACCTCCAAAGCCTGGAGCACCAAACAGCCTCAGAACTCAGCAGACTATAGGAAAAGAAACCATCAGAGGGAGGTCCTTGGGTTTTAGGACTGGGGAGGAAATTTAAGAGGAGCACTCCCCGTGCCACCCCCACCCCCTCCCCCCCCCCCCCCCCCCGCCCCCCCGCCAGGTAGGCTCCAGCGCTCGCTCTCCCAGGCTGGGCTACTAGTCTCCACCCTGAGGGGAGTCAAAAACAGAGAGGTTGGAAACTCATGGATGTGGAGGACCGAGCTCAGGACTTCTGGCTGCATTTTCATAATATGAGCTAGACCAGCTGTCCGCAGAGTCGGGTTGGTCGTTGGTTGCCAGAAGTCCAGAGCTTAAGCACCTTTATGGATGGACTGCACTGTGTTCCCCAGGTGCCTTGGGAAGCGGAGGACCTCTCCTCCCTCCATCCTGCCTCCTCCCCTCCCCCCTTGCTCTGACAGCACAGTTTAGAGAAGCTGGTGTGAAATAGTTTGAAATTCAGAACTCCTGGGCGGTCCCCCAGGGCAGAAAACAGGAAGCCAAGATTAAAGGCAGATCTCCAGTAAAGTCCCCTTCTAACTTCCTGCAGAGCAGGTGCTCAGGCTGAGCTGTGAGCAGCTACCCTTGCTTGACAGCACCTCAGGCAGCCTCCTTCGGCCTTGCCGTCATCATCTCCACTGGTGAGCTCCTGCCAGGCCCTTGGGGAATGAGCCTCCTCCAGAAGGAGGCTGTGGAAGGTGGAAGGTCCGGTCACTGGGGAAGAGGCCTAGTGGCACTGATAGGAACTAGCACCTGGGGACCCCCGGGCAGCAGTGAGAACAAGTGGAAAGGGCATGGGCTTTGGGAATCACTCAGGCCTGCTTTGAATGCCATTGCCCTCCTGTGCGGTCTCGCTGACCCGAAGGGTAGAAAGAGGGGCTCGAGGGAAGGTGGCTAGGGAGACCAGACCCATGTCAAGGGCTGAGAGTCCCTAAGGAAGGACAGAAACCAGGAGACAGTGACAGGCCACAGTGGCCTCTGACATCTGGAAGCCAGGGGCTGCTCGGCTGGATGGCCACGCTGATATCCACAGCTGCTAAAAGCTCAGGGAACCAGGGGCCAGGATGGGCTTCCCCTGGGACCTCTTTCCCTTCCTGACCTGCAGGACAGGAGGCTTTCATGGGCTCCCTCAAGTCAAGAAGCTGCACCTGCCTCATGTAGGGGCAAGGCCTTGGCCTTCTGCATAAGCCTTTGAGCTTCAGCCTGAACTCCCACCCTTACAAAGCTGTCTGTGGGAGTGAGCGTGGCTACCTGGAATCTAGGTGTGTCACACATTGAAAACCTCCCTCCTTGGGCTGGCAGAGTTTATCATGAGGACGAGGTGTTGGCCTGGGAAATTGAGGCTCTAGAGACAGACCTTGCTTCTGACTTTGGGCAAGGCCTCCCTGTCTAGGCCTCAGCTTCCCCACCTGTGTGCTGAAGGGGCACAGCTGGAGTTCTCCTGCAGATCTGAATCCTCCAACTTCTGACTC